AACACAGACTGCGTCATAAAATATCTTCATACACATGACATTCAAGTGAAATCCTTCTATTCTTCTTTTTCAAACGGTTATGTCTCGCATGATGAAAACGGCTAACTCCAGGTTGCAAAATTGGCGGCATTCCCTTCTCACAGTGACTATAAGTCGCAAAAAACTGAAGATTCGCGAGACCTCACTTTGTAATACCCTTACTCATGGGCAAAAAAAAGCAACAAGAACAATTTCACCATGACATTAAACCGTTAAACAACGACCATTCATGCTGCTAACGATGTGATTGCTTTACGAAGCGACGCAAGCAAGGATGTGTCGGCAACCTGATATGCGTCGCTGATTATTCGGTTAGCGTTTAATAAAGCATAGGAACAGGAAATGTTGGAAAAAAAACGTTAAAAGATTTTTGCTGCTGTCATTCGGAATCCTCTGTAGAACACATAAAATGCAGTTTACAATATGCAAATTCTAGTCAGACTGGCAAAGAAGGGGAGAGATGAGTGTTGAAATGCAAAAACACTGTGTTTTTGGAGATGCCAAATTCATTTTCCGCAAAAAAGATAAAATAGCTTAAGGGGAACTGGTCCACTTGAGAGATACGATTACGTCGTATATCCTCAAATAAACGGAGGAACGAGGTATTTGGAATGTTCATACTTCCTTCGATATTCACTCACTCAACTATTTGCATGAACGACGCAACGCACAAAATATATTCATTCGTTATACATTATTATTTGTTCGTTGTCCATTAAAAATATTCGTTCGTTACAAATTAGAATTCACTGATCACATTTTCCAGATTGGCACTAAATGTTGCTCGCCTTGTTGACAATCGGAGAAGATCGCGCACCAGTGAATGATGTCCTCAGGAAAATAAACGACCATGTAGAAGGATTCCGCAGAGATTGAGCCCAAAATCGACTGCAGGCAGTGGATACCAACAGGAAGAGGATATTTCTTAGAAACCGAAGAGGCTGGCATAGTACACTCGGCATGTGGTAACATGGTAACATCATTATATAAAGAGGATACCGACAATGATAGCCGTGCGGCTTTACTAATCCTGGCGAATACATTTTCCCAGTAAATATGAGCATTTATTTAAGTTTGTCATAGAAGCTGCATCATATTGCATTATTGCTTTTACAACGCAGGATTACCACTTTTTTGGTTTTTGCGAAAGTGGGATTTCTGGTGCCGAATTAAGTTGCTTCTGACGCTCATTCTTGTTTCGCAAAATTGACACTTGTACGGCTTTTCACCAGTATGAGTTCGCGCGTGCGTTTGCAACTGAGTTTTCCGTGCAAAGCTTGAAATGCATTGGCTGCATCCGAACGGCTTTTCACCAGTGTGACTTCTGCAGTGCACCCGTAAGTTTTCCACTCTTCCGAATTTTTTACCGCACTGCTTGCAATCGTATGGTTTCGCACCAGTATGAGTCCGCATGTGGACTTTCAAATGATTTTTTAGTCCAAAGCTGGAA